ATTTAGTAACAATTTATAAAAAACCGTAACAAAAAAAGGTCTCTGTGCTTCACCTCCTCATAAAGATATATGGGCTTCTATTCTGATCCCTAGAGAGCTATTTATTGGGACTATGAACCTCAGAGTCTACAAATGCATTGCTGAGCCTTATTGTCTTGCTCAATTTGCTAGACAATTTGGCTTCTCACAAGGGGTCCCAATACCTCTCTGCAGTAACACCAATCTGAGTCTTACTAGCAGGGATTTAAAGGTTCGAAGGTCCAGACTAGAAGAGGCAACTTCTAAGTTTATACAGGACTTGATCGATTTTGAATACATCCCTTTCATTCCTCAAGGTAACCCATTGAAGAGGTACCAAAACTGGTGGGTGACCAACATGGAAGTATACTTGGCCATTGCTCCTCAAAACTTCTTAATGGTGCTAGATGTACTCCAATCCAAACCCAAAGGAGCTGGAGTTGCCACTTCGTCCACTGCTCTTACCACTTCAATTCCTATGCCTGCCACCACACAGTCTACTCCTGCTGCTTCCACTCCTCCTAGAATTACTCGGGCTGCTTCTAAGAAAGGTAGATACCCTTGTTTCTTCTCAAGATAAAATTTCTTTCTCTAGACTTTTTATTTTTATTTTTAATTTTATGCTTAGCATGATTATAAAATGGGAGACTTGTGTGTAGGTCCTACTAAGTGGACTTATTGTCCAATAGGTTATATGATAATTTATGACATTTTTCATCATACACTATTAAAAAACGCTATTAATTGTTAATTTTTAGCGATAGATTAAAAATTGTCACAAAAAATGTTACTAATTATAAGTTTTAGCAATAGTTTTAAAAAAATGTTATTAATTTTGAAAGTTTGAAAAATTTATCACAAAAAGGCACTAATTGTAAGATTTAGTAACAATTTATAAAAAACCGTAACAAAAAAAGGTCTCTGTGCTTCACCTCCTCATAAAGATATATGGGCTTCTATTCTGATCCCTAGAGAGCTATTTATTGGGACTATGAACCCCAGAGCCTACAAATGCATTGCTGAGCCTTATTGTCTTGCTCAATTTGCTAGACAATTTGGCTTCTCACAAGGGGTCCAATACCTCTCTGCAGTAACACCAATCTGAGTCTTACTAGTAGGGATTTAAAGGTTCAAAGGTCCAGACTAGAAGAGGCAACTTCTAAGTTTATACAGGACTTGATCGATTTTGAATACATCCCTTTCATTCCTCAAGGTAACCTATTGAAGAGGTACCAAAACTGGTGGGTGACCAACATGGAAGTATACTTGGCCATTGCTCCTCAAAACTTCTTAATGGTGCTAGATGTGCTCCAATCCAAACCCAAAGGAGCTGGAGTTGCCACTTCTTCCACTGCTCTTACCACTTCAATTCCTATGCCTGCCACCACACAGTCTACTCCTGCTGCTTCCACTCCTCCTAGAATTACTCGGGCTGCTTCTAAGAAAGGTAGATACCCTTGTTTCTTCTCTTTTTTTCTTTTTTTTATAATGCTTCTTAGCCTTATCCTTTGTTCTTCTTTTATGAAGGTGGTGCGGGTGCTTCACAAGGAGATTCTCCTCAGAAGACCCAAGCTTTACATCTCCTTAGGAGCAAACAGCAAAAGAAGAAAAGGAAACTCTTGCCTTGATCCTGTCAAGGAAACACCTGAAGTTCAATTGGCAGAAGAAGAAGAAGAAGAAGCTCAAGAGCAAGAGACACTCTTACAAAGAAGAAAGAGAGTAACTGTCTCTTCTTCTGATACCTCAGTATGCACTGTAGAAACAAAGCTCTGATCTTCAACCAATTTCTCCTCTACAGCCTTAACAGCATGGCAAATGTTGATATAGAAGTCAATAGTGGCTACTGCCTGAGATAAATGACTTGAGACAGTCATGCCAGATTGCTTAACAATCTTGCAGCACTGAAGGAAGCCATTTCTTATTATAGGTCTCTCTAAGGCCTCGAAGGGAATCCTCGAAAAGGATGTCAATAGCTTCAAGCCGTTATCCAAGTCTATCAGAGGTAAAGAAGGCTTACTACTGGAGGAAGAGCTCTCAAAAATTTCTAGTAAAGAATCAGCCAAAACTAACGGCTCAGTCTCATCACTAGCTATTGGAGAGGTAGAAGGCAGGTCGAAGAGACTAGCTAGTCTTGCTTCAAAAATGTCTACCTCATGTGTGGACATGAAGGGGGCAGAAAGGGCTTTGGTGGAAGGGACAAAGGACTGCATAGAGATAGGAGAAATGGGTGGAGCATCTTCAGCAGTCTGTATGGTTCTAGCCACCAATAAATCAAGGGAAGAAGGGGCTGGAACTAGGCAAAAGTAATAAACTGTGAGTTGGAGAGCTGCCAGCACCCTCTTTAGAAGAATCAGCTACCATCGAAGAGAAGGTAATAGTTGGAGCTTCCTTACGAGGAGAAGGAAAAGCAAGGCTCGAAAGAGAATTAAATTGAGATAGGTCAAAAGATAAGTAAGGAAGATATGGAGTTAAGCCAAAAGAAAGTGATGCAGGAATACTTGGCCTTAGGAAGGGTATAAAAAATATAGGGCCTGGAAGTGGCAGAATTATTTGAATGTTCTCCACATCTTGAGTTTGTTCCACTTCAACTGAAACTGAGGTAGTCCTTAGTGGAAGAACAGGCTCAGTAGTTGTTGCTGCAAAAGAATAAGTACAAAGTAACGTTAAGCCTCAGTACCTAAAATCTGACAAGGGAAAAACAGTAAAGGCTTGAAAGAAGTTACTTGTTTCAGAAGTGATAATAACAATAGGAGAGCTACGAAGGGAATAGTGCTCAGCAATATATTGCCTTCTTGCAGTTTCCCTTTGGATTGCATCAGCAGCAACAGCTTCATCTCTTAAGAATTGCTGCTGCCGTCTCTTCTTAGCTCTCTCAAAAACAATTATGGCCTTGGAATGTTCCTTCTCCACTACCTTGGCAGCTGCCTCATGAATAAGGTCTTCGACCAAATCAAAAAGGGAGACGGTCATCTTCCTTCTCTTTTTTCTCTGTATTGGTGCTGCCTGTTCCTTCTCAATTTCTCTTTCTTCAATCTAGGATTCAGATTCCTCAGAAATGAGACGTTTGTGAACCAGAGGGACTGAGTTCGTGAACCAAAAGTACCAGAACTGAGTCGTGGCAAAGCAGGAGGCTGAAGCTGATCGCAAGTTGCTGATGACGACTAAAGATGATCGTGACCCATGAACCAGAGAGACCCACAAACCCCAAGTCGCGATTGTGAAGAAGACCATAGAACAGAGACGACTTCGAACAACAGGCGACAACTTCGAACAACAGGCGTGGACGTCGGCCAGACTTAGGGTTTCGGACGTGGCTCTGATACCATGTAAGATTTATGAATAGCTTTCTATATACTCAACTTGTGTATCAATACAATGCGCACATCTGATATATATAGCAATTCTAAACTTAATCCTAAATAGGAAACAAGAATAAACTCTAAACCAATTCTAATAGGAAACAATATTCACATAATATATACAATACTAATATTATTCTCACAAAAACTTCATCGGAATTGCGTACTCCTTTAACAAAGATTTGTGAAGGGATAAAGAGGCTTGAGATAAGCAGTCAAAGGAAGCGTATATTCGGGTATTCTAACAAGTCATCAAAGGACATTAAACGCGATCTTGACAAATCATTGCTTTTGAATCCTTCAAGAAGAAAACTAAGTGCCTACAAGGACAAAAGAAGGCCAAGGAATTGTTTAGGCCTCCAAATTGCGAAGAGAAGGGAAATAGATCTTTAAGATGTATTGAGAAGGGAAATAAACCTTGCAACTCTATGTCCACAGAAATAGTTGAAAATGACTCAAGCGGTATGGAGATTGACATGAAATCAAGGGATAGCTCGGTATTAGGTAGTTCAAGGATTACTGAAGGAAATATGTGTGAGGAATGGTTGTCAACTGAGAAAACATCAGGAAATTTGGATACCACAAATTCTACTCGAGAAGAAGTCGTTACTTGCTTAGAGGTAGTGCCACTAACAAAGAATTCATACATGGTTTTGTTAGATGCCTCAAGAGGCGAAATGAACACCTCATCAAACTCTGAAGAAGAGCTAGAATTCTAACCTTGTGTCAGGACTTACGGGCCAAGGGACAGTCTCAGGTAGACAGTTTCTATGGGACGTAGGCCTCCCAAAAGGTAACGGAGGCGTGAAAAGGTTTCCTCAAGCCGAACGGAGATTGGTTCTCAACTGCAAAGGCAGATGGGAGCTTGACTGCAAGATCCACCCATCGAGCAGGGATGAAAGTCGGCCGTAGTGATGCGACGATGCCGAGTGGAAGGGCCGTCGCTCAACAGATAAAAGTTACTCTAGGGATAACAGGCTAATCTTCCCCAAGAGCTCACATCGACGGGAAGGTTTGGCACCTCGATGTCGGCTTTTCGCCACTTGGGGCTGTAATATGTTCCAAGGGTTGGGCGAACAGTTTGGAAGAAAATTACTTCCCCAAATTTGAAGAAAACTCTAAAGGCGGCAATGAGATCAGTGAATGAATTGACAAGGAATGAAAAACAAAAGCAAGTTCAGAGAAGAGAGAAAGCCCACAAGACCACAACACCGAATTTGAAAATTTATGAGTAATAGAACATGAAGATGAAGCCGTGGACAGCGATGACAAAGAAAATGCTTTGGCCTCTGATGGTAATAGGTGTGAATCTAGTTCTGGAAGAAAAATATTTCGCAAGCTGGAGACAAATGAAATTACTAAAAAGGTCCTATTTCTTTTTCTCTTGTGTTTTAGAATAACAAGAACTTTATCACATATAATTTTCTGTTTCATATTAGATGGCTGCATCATCTCATTATTTTGATTATCTTATACTTTTGAAATTAATGTAGGTTAACCAAACACAGGACAAAAATTTGAAAGAAAGGCTCACTGTAGATACCACTGGTGCTCAAGGGGTGAAGTATAAAAAAACCAAAACCCACAAATCCCAAGCCTTTCAGGCTCTAAGGACTGATGTAAGCCGTGTCTTTCCCAAATTAATTATGTACAAAAAAATATGTTCTTGCCTGTCACATCTAATAGAACTGATGATTTTTTAGGAGAGAGGAATTCTTAAGGAAGCAAACTTGGAGAGGAAAATGCAAGCACTAGTTCCTCATAAGGAAATTATAGCAGCTTTTACGCTCCTAAGTAGAAGTTTGCACAAAAAGCATGGGAATGAAATCCAAGTGAGCATTTTCTTGTGGGGATTATTTCTTGTATTTATCATGAATGAATAATATTGAAGCTAGATATTTTGCATTTGATCTCAGAGAAATGAGAAGTGCCTCGAGCAAAGAAAGTGCAATCACGATACAAATGAAAGCAGTGGAAATGAATTACAGAAAAATTATCAAAAGGATGAACCCGTAAGTCATCTTCATTTTCAGTTGTTTACTTATTTATACACTTTTAAATTCCTCTCCGTTGTTATGGTAAGGTTCAAAAGTTTGAGATTTCTTGAAAAAATTCTTCATCTTGTAATTTGTAGAAACAGAGTTGAACAGCTTCAGAAGGACAAGCATATCCAAAGATAGCTACTATAACCCCACAGAGATGTTCCAAATCAACACAACAAAAACCTAAACTAATAACCTCCAGACTTGAATATGGCAGGGATGTTACTAGTAAAAAATCAGAAAACAGCTTAAGAAAGACGAAGTCATCTTCACAGCATAAACAGTTTATTAGTCCCAAAGGGTGAGTACTACTCTTGGTTCAGTGTTATCTCATCCTTAATTTATGAAAAATTCTCCATAAGATTGATTTAGCTATACACTTTTTCAGGGTTGCTTCAACGAAGAAGGCAATGGCTTGTGGTAAACAACTCACTGTGGTAAAGGATATATCATCAACAACTTTAAGGTCCGAGGAAGAAGGAGAGCCAAGCCATGGTGATATTAGCCATGTAAATAAAGCTGCTACTTCTTCTGCATCCAGGTCATTGTCACGGGGAAAAAGGCCTTTAATCATTCCAAAGAAGCCAAATTTTCACAACATCCATGTACCCAAGTGTTGCGCAAGGAAAGTGGCTTAGCCGAAGTGTTATTATCTTCTTCTTGTTCAATTTTTTATTGAATTATATTTGTATGTTTAAATTTATTTACTTTCCATTTCATACACAACGCTCTGCAACTTTGTAATAGTTGAGGTAACTAATGTATTTGTGTGTGACAAAGACATGCAATAAATTGTTTCACTCTTTTAAGTCTAAATCATTTCAGTTTTATGAAGTTATGTACTCCCCTCGAACATTATTTTATTTTTATTTTTATGGTGTTTAAATCATGGCACCGTTATCCTGACTTTAGACACAATAGCTTTAAACTTCATGAAGTAAGCTCACTATGCATGTAATTAACTTGAAAGAAGATAAAGCTAAAACAAAATTGCTTAATTAAAGTGTAAATGAATTAGTCTATTGATATAATTAATGAAAATTTGACAAAATATGTACCCATTTTTTTATTTATTTAAATGGGCGACAAAAAATAAAAGCCACCCCCATGCACTTGAGGACTGTTGTGTGTACACTTATCAGAATGCTTCTGCAATTAAAAGAAATAAGATGATATTAGAAGATTCAATTCTTCTAAAAGGCAATTGGTTTTCACAACATTCTTTATGTCATGATTTAGCTTGATAACCAAAAGCCCAATTAGATTTATTTTTCAAGTCAGTCATGATGAAACAGGTAAAATGGACGAATTTCCTTGGACAAAATCACGGTCCTAGCTCCACAATTAAAGAATCCTATTCTTTTGGTTCTTTTACCAATCTTGAAGTACAAGACTTGTACTTTGAAGAGAAAGGATAACACAGAAAAAAGAATCAAAGCCAATGGGCTCTGATCCCCTCTTTCTCATTATTGCATAATCAATTTGCTCATAAAGGGAGAAGGACTTCATGTGTAATAAATACGACTCAATCATGTTAGGTAAGGTTGTGTACATTTTGCCTTCCCTATACACTGGTGGCACTGAGGTCTCACTTTTTTTAAAAAATTATTTCCCATTACTTGACAAATGAAGCAATACAATGCAGCATAATCAACTCAAATTATAAAATAAAATAAAAAATTCCAACGGTGCTCCAACAACTCCTTTTACCCTTCTAAAGTGTAGATCTACACTCTTAGAGTATAGATCTATAGTTTTAGAGTGTAGATCTGAACTTTTTATGTTTGAAACAAGAGTTTGAGAGTTTTCTTCCCTGATTTTAGCATAGATTTTTAAATTTTCGACACTCACAATAGTTCCCTCCTCTCTTAAGCTTTCTCCATCATTGTGGGTATACTTCTTCCTCAACTCTAGCTTCTGGCATTGTCCAAAGTACGGCGACAGCGGCGACGGAGTTGGGCAGCGGCGACGGGGACGACGTCGACGGGGACAACGGGCTTTCAAGCAAATCTTGCTTTCTAGACCACATCTTTGAGAAGATTGGTAGTTTTTCTTGGGTCGTAACTAGTTTTTTTTGGCAAATTTGTTGGTTTTTTTTTGTTTGTTTTTTTCTTTTCGTTTTGTTGTTTGGTTTGTACGGCCCTTTGGAGTCTTGTTTCCGTATGTTATTGTTGTTTTAATATAAATGTTTTCCTTGTTTTCAAAAGAAAAAACTCAAATTATTCCATTTATATTAAGTGGTTCATCACCTACGAGTGGAATAAAAATGATATTAAGTTATCTCATATCATTACATACGTCTCTCTCTGCCTCACTCTCTTACAGGCTAAAAAGAGCTAAACTAGCAAGCTTGGCATTTGAGTTTCTTACCAAATAAACATTGCAATCTAATCATATAAGCTAATAGACTTGTTGATTTACTGGCAACAAATTGAGGCCTGCAATGTTAACTCTGATCTTCACTTGAATTGTCTACTGTGCTATAACCACTAAGAGACTTGCTAGTCACCAGATTAAGACCTACTCTTCCAACTGAATCTCCATCATTGAACTTGCTATTGTGCTCCAACTCATCAGCTCTTACTGTTTTCGCCGTCTTTATAGGACTGAGCAAGGAATCCGTGAAATCCGTAATCCGATCCAGTCCAGTCCAATCCGATAGGTTTGGATTAGTTTTTTGAATCCGCGGTTCGGTTCCGGATTGAAGAATTAAAAATTCGTAGTTCACGGATTGGTTCTGGATTGAATCCCACGGTTCCGGATTGGAACTGATCCGGACCGTATACAAATAGTTTATATTTTTATTATACATCCTCCCTTGTAGTATCTTCTCTTATTCTATGTAAAAAGTAAACTCAAACCTAAAACCGTATAATATCTTCTTTTATTACTTTTGTTTGTTAGTTTTAAGTTTTAATTTGCAATGGTCTAAATACTTATGAAACCAGTTTTCTTATGGTTGTTTAAATTCTAGAACAGTATGTCATTATTATAGAAAAACATGTTGCTATTATGGAACTAATATAGCGCTATGTTTATATTTTTATGAAATTCAAGTGTTATATATATATATTTGTTATTTAATTATGTGAATCCGTGGTCCTAAACCGATCCAATCCGTATTTAAATGGATTGGTTCGGATTGGTTCTATGATTTAAACGGATTGGATTGGTTCCAATTTTTCAGGAACCGTAAATAACGGATTGGTCCTGGTTTTACCCTAATCCGGTCCAATCCGGACAATGCTCACCCCTACGTCTTTACAGGCAATTAAGCCTATTAAATTACAAGGCGGCCTCTTCCAACATTTGCACTACCATTCTCATGGAAGGCCTCAGTGCCGAAGTCTTCATCGTGTAGTGAACTGCAATTCTCAACACCCTGGCAGCGTCTTCCTACATGGCCTCTGAGATGGCTGCGTCCACCAAATGAATTGAACTGCCTTTGCTTCTCATCTCTCCGCACACCCACTGGACTATGTCTTTGTTCTCTTCGAACTCTGGCTCGACAGGCCTCTTTCCTGTCACTAGTTCCATCAGCACCACCCCAAAGCTATATACATCACTCTTCTCATTCACCTTGCTTGTGTATACGTATTCTTCAAAACCAAAACAAGGCACAACAATCAGTTTCATTGCAACAAGTAAAGAATATTTAGAACCACCTATTGTGATTTCAAAACACTAAAGCACTTGTGGAAAGTAAGAATGCAACTATTATGATAGAACAAACAAAAATGAGAAAGTAAAACAGAGTAATTACACAAGAATACAAGATATATGTCGCATGTCCATGGGCGAAGAATGACAAAAGGTTCTGGCTATTAAAATAGGAGAAATACAAGAAGCAGCTGTCTCTTTCTAAGTTGTCTATAACAAGAGTTCGCTCTACTCACGTAACCCTATTCCCCGAAATAACCTATAATATATATATTAAAATTTGAATACAACAAGATCTGAGTTTGACCAGGTTGCTAACAGGTCATATGCATGAACCTGGTAAAGTATGAGACATTCACAACAGCAACTAAACCTTGTCACTGAAAATAGCATGTACATGGAAATAAAAGCTAACCTGGAGCTATGTAACCATGAGTCCCTGCAATAATGTAGGTAGAATCCCAAACTCCATTTGGCTGCTCAACTTTTGCTAGGCGAAAATCTGCAATCTTGGGCTTTAATTGCTTATCCAACAAGATGTTGCTTGTTTTCACATCCTGGTGAATCACCGGCCTATCACACCCATGATGCAAGTACTCAAGCCCTTTGGCAGGCCCACCGAGATCTCGTATCGCTCCCATTATGCAAGTACTCAAGCCCTTTGGTGTCCCTCACCGCGATCTCATATCGCACCTCCCAATCCATCTCGATCTTCTGACACGTGTGCAACCTATCCCACAAACTCCCATTGGGCAGGTACTCGTAAACCAGTAAATTCCACTCCTCGCTTGTGATGCAACAGTACAATTTCACTACATTCAAATGCCTAATCGAGCTCAATGTGGCCACCTCGGCATCATATTCCAGCGACCAGAGATTTCCCTTAGGAATCACCGCTGAGCTGCTCCAGCAGCTTCTCCGGTCACCGGAATCTGACTTCCAAATATGTTTAACAGCCAATTGTTTGCCATTCCCTGGCATGACTTTGTACACATTTCCTGACCCACCTTTGCCAATCAAATTTTCCTTTTTGATTGCATTCCTGACTTCTTCTTCAGTGAAGCTCAATAGATGGAATTGTTTCATATCCAAAGAACTGTATCGTTTGATCGGACAGTCCTGATTTTCCGGCTTATATTTATACTTAACATACATGAAACATGCAAGTGACACAAACAAGACAATTGCCCCAGCTACAATGCAAGATATAACCGTCCGAACATTGCTGGACTTGCCAAAATCTGACAAGCATGGCCGAAGATTCCTCATATTCTCACCACATAGCCCCGGGTTTCCGGCAAAGCCACCAACAAATGCTTCAATTGATAAAGAATCTGGTATACGACCCATCAACTTAATGTTTGACAAATCAAGAATGCTAAGTTTTAGCAAAGACAAATTCACTGGAATTTCCCTGGAAAGTTTGTTGTGCGACAGATTTAAGGAGTTTAGGCTCCTTAAAGAACCAATACTCACCGGAATCTTGCCGGAAAATGAATTTCCGGCTGAGGTTTATGTCACTTAGAGAAACACACGAACCTAAAGACTCTGGAATAGTACCAGAAGACAAGTTGTTTTC